TAAGCTTTTATTATATAGGATAGGCTCACATTCTTAAAACATAGTGTACTACAGGAACAGATAGACCTGACCAGTGTTCAAATACCAGGGATTGCTCTGATGACCATGTAAATAATCCCTACTTAAGTAATTTAAGGTTATTCCCTCAGCTTGTACAATTTTAAAATTCTGAAAACTTTGATCAGTATTTCAAATACTTCTAGCCTACTGAAAGTTCCTTCATAAAATATTCTTTTGTTTCTAAAACATTTTTGCCACAATATAGATTAATATAAAAATATTTTGACCAAAGGTTACAACTGAGTTTCTATTTTCAAGAAAGGATTTATAGGAAAACTAAGATACTGTAATTATTTAATACAGAGGAAGAAATAAATTGTATTTCAATTTGTTCTTGAAGCTTTTCCAAAATTTGTAGGTTTGTGCTATAATTATACCCTTTACCTATGTCTACACAACCCAAAATATTCAATCATTTGGATGTTAGTCTAACACACTGCCAGACTTTAAGATACTTAAACACAAAATTAAAAAAAAAGATATTTAAACACATTTACATGTTTAATGGCAGGCAGAGGGGCCAGCTGAAGGGCTGAGTTGCTTTACTTTTATATGAATGTTCTTACAATATGTGAATATAAAAGCTTTCTTTAAAATGTAGAAAAAGTCTTCAAATAAGTTTTTCAACATCTATGTTTTTAAGAATGTGTTTTTATTAATTTTAGAGAGAGAAAAAAAGGAAGAGGGAGACAGAGAGCAACATCAATTGGCTGCCTCCTACATACTCCCTACTGGGCATGTTCCCTGACCAGGAATGAAACCAGCGACCTTTATCTGGGTGCATGGAAGTTGCTCAGTTCCTGAGCTACACCTGCCAGGGTTCAACATCTATTTTTATTAGATGAAGTACTTTGTAGTAATTACTGACATTTCCTATTTCTTTTGCAGAAATATTTTGTACACAGGTTAGAAGGTAGAGTTTGAAAAAATGTACAATACATTTTCCTCTTGGTGGTTTGTAATTCTTTCTTCCGTTTATATGTATAGATCACTTCAGGGAATATTTTCCAGTCATTTTCTCCATATTTGGCTCCCTACTTTCTATTCACTTTCAAAAGTCTGTAGATGTGAACCATGCTAAAGATTGAAAAGTCACGCTCTAGAATTGGTTTTGGGAGTATAAGTTATCTTTAGTCTTCCACTAGACAACCTTAAACCTGAGGATGACCACAGAGTAATTCTGGCTTAAGTACAATGTAGATTTATTGAATATTTTATAGCATGCATGTAGTCTTTGTTTTAAATATGAATAAAATAATAATTTACTCCGCTTTACATTTATCAAAGAACCCAACACTCAAGAGGGATAATAGGTTCTGATAATGTTGATGATGCAGTATTTAAAATTCATAAACCAATATGCATTTTAAAGTACAATTATACTACAAACAGAGTATGTTTAGTATCACCTACATTTTTTAAAAATATACTTTATTGATTTTTTACAGAGAGGAAGGGTGAGAGATAGAGAGTTAGAAACATCGATAAGAGAGAAACATCGATCAGCTGCCTCCTGCACATCTCCCACTGGGGATGTGCCCGCAACCCTGGTACATGTCCTTGACTGGAACTGAACCCGGGACCTTTCAGTCCGCAGGCCGACGTTCTATCCACTGAGCCAAACCGGTTTCGGCTCACCTACATTTTTTATCTATTTCAAAATAAGTATTATTTTAAAATTTAGGTTCATTAACAATAGTTACTATGATACTAAAATATGCCTAGAAGTCTGAAAAAGGATTTTAAGGTAAAATATTTTAAAATGTGTTTCTGATAGGCTTTTACATTGGTTTAATACTAGAGATATTTTACAAAAAACACACAAAGTATATACTTTTATAATAAACTAGGGGCCCAGTGCACAAAATTCGTGCACTGAGGGGGGGTTCCCTCAGCCCAGCCTGCCCCCTCTCACATACTGAGCCCTCAGGGGATGTCCTACTGATCACCCTCCAATCGCAGGATCAGCCCCTTGCCCAGGCCTGACGCCTCTGACAGAGGTGGCAGGCTTGGAAAGGGGACCCCCATCTTCCCCCGATCACTGGATCGGACCCCCACCAAGGCCTGAGGCCTCTGGCCCAGGAATCATGCCTGGGCAGGGGACCCCCATCTCCCTCTGATCTCTTGCTCCACCCCCTGCCCAAGCCTGACCCCTCCCAAACTGGCTAGGGCAGGATATGACATTTCTTAGCCCTCCAGCAGTGGACCTTCGTTTTTTTCTCCAGGAGTGTGGTGAAAAACCCTAGATCTTATTACCCAAGTTACTAAGAATATTACCAGTGGCATACAGGGAGCTTAGCCAATGAGCGGTCAGAAAAGGTGTTTCCTCTCTAGTTCACACCGATCGTTGTCTCCACCCCCCACCCAGGCCTGGCACCTCTGGCCCAGGCTTCAGGCCTTGGCAGGGTACCCCCATTTCCCTCCAATTGCCATCTCCGCCTCCCGCCCAGGCCTGACGCCTCTGGCCCAGGCTTCAGGCCTGGGCAGGGGGCTCCCATCTCCCCCCATCACCAGCTCCGCCCCCTCAGGGCTGGCAAGGCATTAGGCTTGGGCAGGGGCTCCCCTGCAGCTCCAATGGCCGGCTCCGCCCCTGCCCAGGAGCCCCCTGGCTCAGGCCCTTCCTAGGCTTCTCAGGGCCCACATGGGGCCTACCTCGGAGTGACCTGGGTGCCGATGATGTTCCTGGGACCCAGGCCACTGGGCGCTTATGTATGCAAATTAACCGCCATCTTGGTTGGGTTAATTTGCATACTCATCCAATTGGCTGGTGAGCGTAGCGGAGTGACACCAATTTGCATGTTTCTCTTTTATTAGTGTAGATGTTTCCCTAACAGAATACTTACTATAAAAGTCCCTAACAGACCCCTTTTTAAAAAATTGTCACCCAAGGACATGTTTAGAGAGAGAGAAAGGGAAGCCAGGAGGGAGGGAGGAGAGAGGGAGAAAGAGAGAGAAAGAGAGAGAAGCATTGATCATTTGCCTTCCCTATGCTCCCCAACTAGGGATCAAACCCACAACCCAGGTACATGTTCTGACTGGGAACCTTTTGGTACACAGGAGGATGCTGAACCAACTGAGACACTCCAGCCGTGCTTTTTTCCCCTAACAGACCCTTTTTTGAAGCAACCCATAGAATACTGAATGTGGTAGAATATTTTGTGAATTCTATATAATTAAAGCTTTGGCAAATCAGTATCACTAATAACATTACTTCTAGTGTAACCTGTACCATAAATCATCTGCAGATATTTCTCATTTCAAAAGACATGAATTCAAGGTGAATTGGCCAAAAATACTAAATTGTTGTGTATATGAAGTGAAGTTTTAATGATTTTAAGTTCCTATTATAAAGCACTTTAAGTAGCTAATTCTAAGAATCTCTTCTATAGAGCACAAAAATAATACCTCATTTTTAAGTTGGTACTAAGTCCTTAGGTGCTAAAATCCTTAAGTAATCTTCTGAGTTCATTAAAGAAATCCCCTATAAAGCAGGTCAATTATAATTTTCACTAGTATAGTGTTTCCTGTAGTTCCTTTTACTATATAAAGTTACTATCATAGGTATAATAGTTTCATATGAAATTCTCACATATTTATTTATTTATGTTTTGAGCCTTACTAAGTGATAGCAATTCACATAAAATTTGAGCAACAAATTTTAAAAGCTTTGCACATTTTCTTTTTACCAGAATTAAATATTTTCTCCACTCAGTCCATCAAGAACATGAATGTTGTTATTAAAGTAAGGTAAATTTTAAAACAAATGGCTAATTTATTACTCTCAAATGAATGAACATTAACATAAAAACGTGAGTAATTTTAAGAACAAAAGTAGTTAATAATAAAAATATATGGACAGTATTCATTACGTTTTTTCCCAAGTGTATATAGTTTAAAAAATTCTGATATGATCAATCAAACTTAACTTGCTAAGAGCATTTAAAAATGTGTAAATAGACAAAATACTCCTATGAATACTTCTTAGTAGACAGCAATGAAAAGTAGCAGCATTTTTTTTTAATTTTAGAGAGAGAAACAGAGGAAGAGACAGAGAAACATTGATCAGTTGCCCATAGAATCCACAACCCAGGTATGTGCCCTGACCAGGAATCAACCCTGCCACCTTTAGATGCATGGGACAAGGCTCCAACCAACTAAGCCACACCAGCTAGGGCAAAAGTAACAGCAATTTTATTAAATTACAAAAAATTTTTGATATTTACTATTTATTATACTATAAAGGACAATTTAGGGTACAGTTTTACTGTAATGTGTTGATAATATCTTCAATGTGGGATGATCTTTCCCAAACTTTATTTGCAACCAACTGGAAGATTGGGGCTTAAATGAGCATATTTGTAGCAGGATTTATTTTATTTTTACTAAAAAGAATAGAATAGAATAGGATTAGTAATGAGATTATTAATAAGATATTTGTTTCATTTAAATACAACTTTGTATGTGTGTGTGTGTATATATATAAAGTATACATGTGTAAACATATTTCATGTACTTAGGTGTATTCACACAATATACATATGTGTGTATATACACATATATAAATAAACATACACACAAATATAGGTAAAATATATATAAGTCTGAGTATATGATTACCAACAGTGTAAAAGTTTTCACCTTGGGTCCTGATCACCAAAGTTCAAAAGACACTGAAAAAAAAGCTGAGTATATTCTTGTTCTAGGCTATATGAGAAGAATGTTGGGTAATAACTAAGTATGTAGTGTCTTCTAATCTCTTAGAAGTTGAAGGGACTAAAATACATCCAGAGGGGGAAATATTTGGTTTATTCAGTGTAGCCTACATGATGCTGAAGGATAAAGCAGAACATAATTTTGACTTATGACATGGGAATTTTTAAGGCCTGTGAAAAAAATGACTTATTAAACAAGAAATATATTGATGTCACAGTGGTACTAACCATACTCTATTGCAGCCTTAAGTAATGCTTCAGCGTGAGTGGAGCCAAATGCATTACGAACAAATCGTCTCCTTCGACGAAGATCATCTTCCCAGTAATCCAAACGCCAGAAATCATGTAATTGGCTAAGAATGGGAAAACAAAGAAACAATAATATACTATTACTAATAACGTATAACTGGACAAACATTTTTTTCTATAAAATTAAATATTTCTTTGATCTCACTAGAAAATTAAGAAAATTTTGAGATATTTATAATTGCGTTTGTATACATAAGTTTATAAATGAACAAAACTTAAAATAGTAACATTTTCTGATTTAAGCATTATAATACTCAGCTCTGCTTTCTTTTTAATGTTCTTCATTCTCCTAAAAAAACATTAATCATGTGGAGTTTAGTAATAAATGTAGCATCAATTTACAAGTATTAACGTCAGTTTGCATTCTTTTACAAATATTTTTAACAAGGCTTGTAAATCATAGGATAGACCTCACTACAAAAAGTGTGCAATTTAATGACCTTGGTTTCACAGTAGACTGAATTAAGAACTATAAAATACTGCTCACTTGGATTTGGTGAACAAAGATTAAAATAATGTGGTGAAATATTCATTGAAATAATTCCTGGCTGCCCATGGCAACCTGAGAAAAGTGCAATTTTATCCATTATTAATAATACTAAATTAGGGTTGCAAAAGTCCCAGTGTGTTGGAATTGTCTTGGTAAATTATTATTCTAATGCTAACAGAGTCATTGGACAATTTTTCAGCTTTCAGCTAATATAAAACATTAACAATCATGGTCATCATTGAGTAACATTGTCTAAACTGTGTTACACTCTAAAACAATATTAAAAATCCATTTGATATGCCAGAAACTACTGAAGTGTGTTCAATGCATATCAATTTTCCCCCAATTTAATTTCAATACAAATTGATAATAAATGCACTGCTTGAGAAGCCTGTTTTTCTCTATATAGTATTTGGTGTAATTAACTTTTGAAAAACATTTCAGATTTTATAGCTATTCTACAGGCCTGGTGCACAAAAATTTGTGCACTCAGCGGGGGGGGGTCCCCTCAGCCCAGCCTGGGCCTCTTGCAGTCTGGGACCCCTCGGGGGATGACCACCTGCTGGCTTAAGTCTGCTCCCTGGGGGGATTGGGCCTAAGCTGACAGTCAGACATCCCTTTGGCAGCCCAGGAGCCCTCAGGGGATGTCCACTTGCCAGTGGGGAGTTGGCCTAAGCTGCAGTCGGACATCCTTAGTGCTGCTGAGGAGGCGGGAGAGGCTCCAACCACCACTGCTGTACTGGCAGCCATCAGCCTGGCTTGTGGCAGAGGTGAGCTTCCCCTGTGGGAGCACACTGACCACCAGGGGGAAGCTCATGCATTGAGCATCTGCCCCCTGGTGGTCACTGTGTGTCATAGTGACCAGTCATTCCCAGTCTTTCTGCAGTTAGGGTCAATTTGCATATTACCCTTTTATTATATAGGAGTGCCTGGCCAGCCTGGGTGAGGGGCTGATGGCTGTTTGCAGGCTGGCCACAGCCCCTTCAGGGTGGGGGTCCCCCCTAGGGTTCCTGGCCAGCCTGGGTGAGGGGCTGATAGCTGTTTGCAGGCTGGCCACAGCCCCTCCAGGTTGGGGTCCCCCCTGGGGTGCCTGGCCACCCTGGGTGAGGAGCTGAGGGCCATTTGCAGGCTGGCCACAGTCCCTTCAGGGTGTGGGGTCCTGCTGGGGAGCCTGGCCAGTCTGGGTAAGGGGCTGAGGGCCATTTGTAGACTGGCTAAGCCCCCAAGCAGGGACCCTCACCCCATGAGGGTGTGGCCAGCCTGGCTGAGGGGCTGATGGCTGTTTGCAGGCTGGCCACCCCCCCGAGCCTCCCAAGCTCCCAGTGGAGGCTGGCTGGAAGCAGGTATCTGGACTTTATTTAGCTTCTATAATTGAAACTTTGTTGCCATGAGTGAAAGCCTCAGCCAGCTCAGGGCTGGCGGGGAGCTTGGCTTCCTCCATTGCCCGGGCAACCAAGCCACCTCCTTGCTCCAGCTCCATGGCTGTGGGCCGCCATCTTGGTTGGGTTAATTTGCATATAGTCACTCTGATTTGCTGGTGGGTATGGCCTAGGGCATACCAAAGGTACAGTCAATTAGCATCTTTGTCTTTTATTAGTGTAGATAATTTTGTTTTCCATAACTTAATTGTAAAGCCAAAATGTAAGGAATCTATAATAATAAAAGTATAGAGGTCAGAAAATGGAGACCGGCAGGAAGGTAGGGAGGGAGAGAGTGTGAGAGCACAAGGAAGTGATAGAGGAGTGTGTGAAAGTGTGTGGTGTATATGTGTATGAGCTAGGGACAGTTAGATTCTGCAGGTCTTCTAAGGGGCTGCTAAACGGGGCAGTCTTAGGCAACGGAGCCACGCTCCCTGCGAGGACACTCCTGGGTGGCCAGCACGGGCACAGCAACCATGGCATCTTGAGAAACAGAGCTGCTTGAGACTAGAATCTTGGCCTCACCACCACCCAGTCTGATCTCAGACACAAACTAGGACCCTGCAGCCAATGCGGAAAGAGACCTGTGACCACAGCTACAGACCTGCGGACACCAATATTTCAGAAATCCCGGCAGCAGATCAGTGAGTAACAGAGCCCATTCCCTGTCCCCGCAGGCTTGCGGGCAGCACCATAGTAACTGATAGACCCAACCCTTGCCTGGGCCTCAGTGCTGCTATAGGAAATTAAGCCTGGAAGTACACGAGCACCTTGGAAATGGTCCCATGCACACTACCGGCTTCAGAGCCCTGGGCTGGGAGCAATCGTATGAATACCAGGAACTGGTCCTGCCTGCACTGCCTGATCCAGGAGCCCTGGGCTGGGAGTAAACGCACGACCACTGGGAATTTGTCTCCTATAGCGCAGGGCCCAGGGACTGCGATTCTCTGGGCAGGAGGCAGCACCAAGCACCAGTGACTTGACTGTGTTTCTTATCACCTGTGCCTGAGATCCCTGACTCCCTGTGCATTCATACTAAGAGCCAGTGACTCCAATTCCTGGTGCAAAGGCACACAGGGAGCCTGATTCTCAATGTGAGGTCATGCAAAGCAACAGAGACTCTGATACTGGATTCTTGGGGAACTCTGACTCCTGGCGCATGCTAGGGATGCTGATTTTCAACAGGCTCCAGGGGGGTCTCTGTTTCAGCATGGTGCA